GAGTTTACACTAAAACTCAGACACTAAAATTCAAATGAGTACGAAAGAACAACAAATTCAAGTTCATTAGGTTATTTGATATGATACTATCATCAGGTTGTGATAGTGTTGTCGTTTAACACGCACAAAACAGTGGTTCGATCACCCTCCTAGCCCTCCCTCTCCCTCGGTCTCCACTGAGCTTCCCAACTCTCCAAGATTGGGAAATTGGTACCATACCTCTCTCGGAGGCTGCTCCCACGGATCGAGAAGGCCTACAAACGTCACAACACGGCTGAACTAGAACTCTGAGGAGAATCGACTCCAACAGCATTCAAGGATATTCACAAGTAGAAGTAACAATACTAAAGCAGCGGGTGAAACTACAAGCAAAGGCGAAAACCGTTGTAAATGTTGGATGCGACGAAACGAACCGAAAACAGAAGGTTTTGGGAACCACGCAGCAGATCAGGACAAGTCATGTAAAATAAATAAGATAAATAAATATTAGCTGTCAGTTACGAAATCGGATACATTTGAACATCAAGAAAATTTTGCAAGAAAAGGTGTAGTACAAAACTACTACCTCTATGGTAAGAAACAGCAAAAACCAATGGGAAATTCTGAGAGAGGTCTTTAAAAAGCCACTCGCAGAGTCGATGTTATGGGGACAATTGTCGCCGAGGCACATTTGACGTGCAGGTCTGCATTTCGCGTCGATGACCTACATTGTCCACTTTCACTGTTCGCATAGCGCAACGTTCAGCGATCCTAATTACACTCATCTCCACAGCCTTAAACAGCCATAGAACTTGTTTCCAGTCTCACACCAGACGTGGCCTTCACGTCATCAGCTTCCTAGAAATTTAGATGCCTCTCATATTCAAATTTTCTCACATATATTGATGGTAAAGTTAAGCCCAAAAATATCTTCAACAGTATCATCAAATAAGATAATACTGAGATATTGGCAAAACTCCGGACCGCAGGTGTCTGCGGTGGGGAACGAACGCGCTATTGTCCTTTCGGGGGAATAACGCGTTCACCACCACACCATGCGGGTCCTTCGTTTCGCCTGTTTCTCAGCTAGTTTTATTGATCGGCGCCATCAGCAACCACCTGTCAACTGGACTGATCTAGGAGACCCAAATCGGCAACGAACCTAGTTAAGCTGAGGCTGAAGTCGAAATCGCAATCTTAACCTTTTTCATTTACTGCCTACTATAATTTCTTTTGTTTTTGTTTGTGTTAAGATTGTGATTTCGAATTCAGCCTCAGCTTAACTAGGTTCGTTGCTGATTTGGCCCCTAGATCAGTAACGTTGACGGGTGATTGCTGATGGCGCCGATCAATAGAACTAGCTGAGAAACACGCGAAACGAAGGACCCGCATGGTGTGGTGGTGAACGCGTTACTCCCCGGAAAGGACAATAGCGCGTTCGTTCCCCACCGCAGACACCTACGGTCCGGAGTTTTGCCAATATCTCAGTATTATCTTAGTTGTATTTCATATTATACCCTGCCGTTAAAAATTATAGTAGGCAGTAAATAAAAAAGGTTAAAAAAGGTTGAGAGTATCATCAAGCTTAGCCGCCGAATGACTCAGGATAATAATTCCGTACGACTAATCGGTTTACTGAGTCGAATAAGCAGGATTCCCACAGGGATTCTGCTTCATGGACCATATCCAAACTAGTCACAGAAGTCAGTCAGAAATAGCACCTGCACCTTGTTGACTATGAACAGCGCTTCGCGGCGTTGAAACGAATACAATCTTCTTAGCGTTCGTCGACCAAGGAGTGGACCCGACCTGTACGAAAATTATAGCTGACTGCTGTAGTAACCTCAATGCAAAGATGCAGCTTTCCTATCTACCCTTTACCATTCTCAAAGAAAAAATAGTACGACAAGGCAACACCACTTCATCAAAGCTGTTTGCTGTCTCACTGCAGCGGATAATGAAGTCACTCGACTGAGACAAGATGGGCATATGAATTGGTGAAAACTCCTGTAAAACCTTCGCTTTGCTGAAACCATCGTCACCTTTTCAAAGAGTAGCACGTAAGGTAAGCAAAGGCAAGCAACGCTAAACGTGCTCAACGAAGCGTGAAAAAAGACGGAATTACCAATAGATAGGACGAAGACATAGTACATGAAGAACGCTTGACGCTAAAGTGAACCAATCGAACTTGATGGTTTTCTAACTGCAGAAACAACCTCGTATGTGTACCTTGAACGCTCAGTCATGGAGAGCAACATGGAGGCATTAGACAGAAGAAGGACAGCAGCATCGGCCGCACTCTGGCCTCTCAAAGAAGCACCGACCACATAGAAGATCCTAAGCTTCTTCCAGGGCTCCGTTATACACCTGAGATACTCCACCTACGTCAGAAAGTTTTCGCTCAAATTACACAGGACTTGAACAATGTTTTCTGAAATCTAAACTACATTCACAACGTCTAGACGGATTGCGAAGCTGATCCTCGAAATCTATCTCATCTTCGAGATCCCATAAGAGTACTCATTGATAGCAAATCACAATGGGCTGATCACACAATAATGTGAAAGATAGATGAATAACAAATGAAGAGAACTGTGAGACGGATTTTAAGAAATGAAAGCATCCTCCCGAACGACCTAAACGATAAGAGGACGTGTTCATGTTTTACGTCCACAATTTGCATGTGCAGATGAAAACGATAGACGGACCACGGGATGAACATCACCGTGTTTGAAGCCACCCACCAGCACGAACGACGATTGTGCAAGGAAACGAATGGAAGATGTACTAGGCCCGCACTACCGTGAAGACGGACCATCGAAGTATCCAAATATACAAGGCGATTTATATTTAGATACGAAATCAATAATACTGTACCAAGACATTACCGAATTGTAAACGGATGCTATCGCCAGTCGCTGCCTTTTGTGGTGACAGAGGGTTTACAACCTTATAACTAGGTTTGTTCCAGGGTGCCATCAATTGCTGTCTTATATTCACCCTTAAAGTGCCTTCGGGAGGAAGAGTCAAACAACTTACTGGTTCAACGGACCGTGACTTTACTTCGTGGCTTGTATGTCGATATACGTCCTCCATCTTCTCCAACCGTTATACAAAACATCAGGATATACCACAGTCGGGAAGGCTAAGTTGGCTCGAGCACAGTCGAAACAGCGACCGTGCACAACGTCTCTCTAACTACTGTGCTTTCCACTCTCTAGACAATCTTCGAAAAAACTTCTTTTATTTACACGACCCAACAACCCACCATCACATCTATTGTTTGGAATCCCAGTCTTGAATTTCATTTGCTTTCCTTGTATTCATCATCCGAAAAAGTCTTCAAAGTCAAGTCTTGTTCTTCAGTCTTCGACACTCATTCCGCGTGTTGCTTCGGCTGCTGCTTGAGGATCTCGTCGTTTACATGAATGTGAATGCTATAGGATGCTGTCGAATCGATTCACTTTGCAATCTTAGAGGTAGTTGAGCTAAAGCGTTCTAACGTGAATTAGAGGACAGCGTCAGAAAGGAGTCGAACAAACACCTTGCTTCTCGATGAACTGCATCATCAACCACTGGACTAACCCCTCCATTTTTAGAAAAAAAAAGGAATAGTAACAAGGAAAGGGCCAGGAATACAAGCAAACCGGGATTTCTGCAGCACTTCGAGTTACGGAGACAGTGTCAAGTTCATGAAGAGAACGAATATCTATTACATACCTGCATGAATTGTTTCGTAGCGTCCCTTTGATAATAGGGTACAAAAAATCATGAACATTCAAGACTGCACCTTCGTTAAAACAAAACCGCATCAACATTCCCAAATCCGTCGATACACTTAGAGGACATTATGGACGACCACTCACCAAAAGGGAAGGATTTATTCGCATGTGAAATAGACAGTGTTCAGCCTACAATATCTGAAAAAGTGGTCTGCAAGATTGAGCCAGCAACTGCGAAACATGTATCATCTCAGGTCCGATCATTAAGTCATTGTTTTCACGGATTTACTACCACTCAACAAAATCGACCAAGAGCCAAACAACTTGTGTTATTCTAAATCAGATTTCGTGGGACGAAGTTCTACTTCAATCCCTACAGAAGCACTTCTGAATGCCAAGCAGCAAGTTTTTCCTTTCAACAGATATGCTATCGCTGTTCTATGAGAATATGGCTCCGTGAAATATTCATAGAGCTCTCAAACCTCTCTTGAACCCTCCCATTTCTCCCTTTTTAGCAGGTTTGTGATGCATTTTCCACCCAAATTAACTAATTTCACTGCCTACAGGTCATGAGTGCTTGTAGCCGCTCAGCATTCTTCTCAACACATGATCATTAAATCGCTCTTGTAGAACGTGCTTTTTCATTCTTCCACATTTCTTCGTCTTGAAGCGGATAGGGGTATGTGTGGTGCAGTGGTCGGAAGCGCCCAGCTAAATATACGTGGAATCGATCTCCGAGCCCATAGCCCACCAAGCCTTCCATCTCTCCGGGTCAGGAAATTGGTACCAGACTTGCCTGGGAGGAGAGCAGCATTGATCACTGATATATCGGTAGGCCATCGCGAGTAATTGTAAAGGTCAGATATGCATTCGATCACCTCTAAACAGTGCTTAATGAAATCGAATGCATGGCGCATCCCTCACGGATTGATCAAAGCTGAGAGCTCTATCCTTTATCGTTTTAAAGCGGATTGGCACTCGCCCTCCATTTTTGTGTCTTATTACTTTCCTTGATAAGTTAATATTCTACATGAGATATCATTCCATTATAGACACAACACCAAACCCAACGGCAAAGTTCAACTGAAATAGCGAAAATCTTTAGTCTTTTAAAGTAAACTTTTGGAAAAAGTTTCCACGCCTAAGTTCACTTAGATCTGCAGTGCCAAATAAACAACCAAAAATCAAATCAAAATTCTTATGTAATATCACCGAAACAAAGCATTCAGCAAAGCGTTTATCTCAGCGACATGAAAAATCTGCACGCTATGAACAACCGAAAAACCCTACGTAAAGCTACTAACACTGCTTTACCATATCCGGTTTGGGGTGGTAGAACAACGCTGAGTGCATAACAGCTTCGGAGAGGCTGCCAATCAGAGAGGGATGGTACTGTCCAACGGTATCTGTCACCTTACCCTCCAACACCAATAAACCATGCAGACGTTGTTCAACCTGGAAGAATGTCTAACATCGACGTGTAGCTGTCTTCGACCCATTTGTAGTTCTAAACGAAACTTTAAAAAAAAGAACAAAACATAGAATATGCGCAAACCTAGTAAAACCAAAACCAATAAAACCTAACCCAATCTTCTAATTATTTGGTATATCAGCAGAATATTAGCTATTTAAAGTATAGTCGCACTAGTTTCCTATAAACTAAAATGACTTAAAGCAGTTATTTTTGACGTGATTTAACTTCGCCCTCTCATTGGGAAAGCAATTTCTAGAAAAGAATTTCCGTTACGAGAACGTTCCTTCTTAAAAAGTGCTCGTTACGAAATAATTGAGCGTCAATACCACAATGGTACTTCAATAAACGCACTTAGTAATAAATTTCCTTCAGTATTTCCTTAAAAGAGTAGAGCATAATTATAAAGCATTTTTTCAGACAATCTTGACTTAGACAAAAGCAGGACTAGAAAACCGAAAAAAAAGAACATCACAAAGAAAACCTATATTCCATAGCCGACTTATGATCGAAACACTTAATTCAAAAACTTAAAAACTGTTCCTGTTCCTGTAGTAAATCCAGGTTCTTTCCACTGCGACACTAAGAACAAGAAATTTCTCGCTAACGTATACTTCATCAGTGGTCACTATTTACTTTTGCTTAACTGAGTCTTTGGATAGAAACATTAAGCTTCTCAGCTTCGCAACCTGAAGTGACGGATTCCTCAATGTACATTACTATTGAACACCCATGAACACCTTTACCCAGAATAAATCAGTACGCCATATGTCGATGTCACCTTTGTCGCTGTAATCCTAGCAATCATCGGGTGACACAAGTGAGCATTAGTGAAGTCTGCATCCGTCCTGTCGCGCGGTAATATCGACCAGAATGCTCTGTAGAGAGATACGAAAAGCATCACATTTTTCGTCTGAGGGACTTTACTTGATTGATCATGGCGGTAGGTTCACGGATAGTTTGTCAGGATCTCCAAAAGCAGAATGTAGGTGCTGGAACCTGCATTTAGTACCTCCAATTCAACAGCTAATGACTGGTTTTGGACGGTTTTTATAAAAATATTTCACACATAACGAAGGTATAAACCAATCCGGCTCAGCAGGAAGAAGAACTGCATTTACTATAATCATCTTTGCGTTGATATGTTCACGACAATATGCATCGAATTCAGCGCATTTTCTATCACAATGTTTCGTTTGGCGCACTGCACAATATTCACCTCCAAGATCTTTCGTATCAAATCTTTAGAGTTCCCATCACATATATCATACCATTCGCCGCTCCAGAAGATTTTCTCTTCTTACACATCAAAATTTACAGATACCTTTAGGAGAGCTTGCTCCCCTACATGGATCCACATTCGACTTATCTTTCGTAGCAAAAGAGTAACACAGTTATCGTTACCGATGAGGAACGGAGTAACGTCTTTGCCACAAAAATCAAGTATGAGAGTGCTGCTACAGCTCCTAGTTCAACGTAGTATAAAGAAGATAATGGAACACAGAAAACTGTGGTAAAGAGTGGTGGCTGATGTTTCTGCCCCGGTAGAACATTCCAACAGCGATGAAGATTTCGTTATAGTGAATGCATCCACATAAACACTGGTATGATCTCTATTATTTAGATATGATATCCATGCCTACACATATTTCACCTAGGTAAGAACTGTGTCACCTCGTGAATACAATTCGTACATTTGAGGTATTTGCGGTTTATTTCACGCCACCTCAAATCACATATTGTCGTGATCCCATCACTTATTTCATTCCATTCTCTTCCTCAAATGCATAATCCTAAGATAGGATCACTAAAGTTTTCACCAAAGGCAGTAGCCAGCCTTTGAAAACTGAAAAAAGCTCTTGGAAGATTATTATGGGTCCCATTTCTCGACTCAAAAAGGATGGAAAATCTTTGTTGGTCCTAGAGTGGTCGAACTAGAACCTTGTGCATATTTAACAATATCTACACCATTGCATTAAGACTGTAAACGGTACAGTAAATTATCCGAGATTTCAAAAATCTACAGTGTTAGGTTTTGATATTTTATCCGATCATTTCGGCTAGGTTGCGTGCACTATTGCAGGGAGAATGAGGCTTTGAGATGACATAATATTGCAATTATGATATCGTACCACTACTATAAGGAGTGGGGCACCACTCCTGTATAGCGTACTAAAATGAGGAACAGTTATACAGTAGAATCAAGCGTCTACTCTAAGGTAAGTGTCCAGTGAGATTTAACACTCAACTTCTGAGATACTACACTATAAGATAATCGTGATGACGCATTCGTAGTGAATTAAAACTAACGCAGCCAGGTCACAATCTTCCCAGGAAATTAACCTGCCATTTATGCTAAACTTTTCGATCCATAGCGGAATTTCTCTATGTAGTTCAATAATAACTTAACATTTGCTGTCCGGGGTTTTGAAGATTTCTCAGCATCATTGTGATAGTAATTTAAATGCTATTCGGATTCAATGCATTCTCTGTTTTTCTTGAAACCTCATGTTTTTTGGAATTCCAACTTCGCATGGTGAGATAAAAAAAAACACTCGTTCATCATTCATGCAACGTTGTGTCAGCATTTAACAATCTCTCACGCAACATATTCTGAGCATATTTCGAGAATTGGAATGTTTTTAATAACTGTGATTCATTGAAACAATTGGAAAGGAGCCAGCAATCAAGTCTTACGTAAAGAATAAATTTTAAACCCTTAAATCATATCAAAAGAAAACAAACTGAAGTCCATTTCTCATCAGTTTTTCACCGAGGGCGGTCAAGAAGCTGATGTCACCAGGAACACCAAAATAACTTGTGTTTCCTATCGAATAAACTGAAAAAGTGTACTGATAGATAAGGATGATCCTGACGAGCTCAGCGTAGAGTAGTTAAACAATATGATGTATGATAATTGTTGGAACTACGAGAATAGCCAATTTGAAGTGGAGCTACGGCTAGTGGGTGCTTTCACAGAGCCAAGAGGATCTCATGACTGACATCTGAAATCTAGTTGTGGAATAGAAGAACACACATGAACAAAAGAATTATTTAGGACCGACAACTGAAGAGGTGAGAAGATCTACTCCGAAAAGAACAGACTCTATTTTATCATTAATCTCGTATATGTAATTACTTGACACAAGATCTCATCCTTGCCTTACCTCGAAACCTCTCCATAGTACCGGGATAGGCGGCACCGCCTGGTGGCTTGAATTGCGACCTTCTCCGCCCCATTCAAGAATGGATAGCTTCACACCATTCGTTTGGATACTGCTAACATCATATACATCACTTTATCTGCACAAGCTGTTGTATCGCTTCTTCATGAACTATCTATATAAGCAACATCATTAGCCATCACTCTTTCCTGATTCAACTGTCGGTGTGTAAATTCCCGAAAACTAGAAAGCTACCCCAAACATCACCTATTCCACAACCCATTTAAGCGACCTTAGAACCATTATTCTAATCGTTTGGTTAGCATCCTTGCGGTCATCAAATCCGTCTTACCGCCTTATTTCACGTACCAGATTTAAATTGTTAAAACCTGCCTTCACCTAGTCACTATTGTATCCTGCGCTAATCACGGTCCTAATAACCACCAAGTTAGCGTCATTACAACCTTACATGCACCTTCTCCTATGCTAATATCGCTGCACTGTTATTACAACCTCACATGTCTTCTAATATGTCAACCTCCTACACCATTACCTTTGTATTCCATACCACACTTGCTCATAACATTACGCCAGCGGCCCATGGCAGAGCTGCTCGCTCGTCTCATGGTCACCTTTCCTTCATCATCTTGCCCTCGCTTACATGTCTCCGTGCCGCTGGCATTATTTCAGTTTTGTCATGTCTTCACTATTACTATTATTATTACTATTGTTGTTGTGAAATATAACTCGTATGAAGTGCTGAGATATTTGCAAAATCACAATCTTATATCTTATATATAATCTTAATATAATCTATATCTTATATATAATCTTAAGATTGTGATTATAACTAAGCCTCAGCTTAACTGGGTTCAATGCCGATATTGGCTCCCCAGATCAACCCCATTGACGGGTGATTGCTGATGGCAAAAAAAGATCGATAGAACTAGCTGAGAGACATGCAAAGCGAATGACCCGGATGGTGTAGTGGTGAAGTGCGCTGCTCCCCGGTAAGGACAACAGCGCGTGTTCGTTCCCCACTGCATACACCCGTGGTCCGGAGTTTCGCAAATATCTCAGCACTTCATACGAGTTATATTTCACAACATACCCTGCCATTAAGAAGAAAAAGGCAGTAAATAAAAGAGTTAAGACTATTATTGTTATTATTATTACTGTAGTAAACGACTTAATCACCCAAGTTTGAGTTCGAGATTACAAACTGCTGCACCCAAAAAAGTCTCGCGTACAGACCGAAAGAGGAGAAGCAACTATCACACGAACCAACACCAACACATTTGGTGCTTCAACCGACCTAACACATATTATCCTTTTCAGATGATTTGGAAAGCTCTCTGCTCACAACCACTTCGTCACTAATGCGAGCTATAACATGGAAAATTCCAGTATAGAAAGGTACTAGGAGTGCCCATTTTTCACTTGTAGCTGTCTCAAAACTATAGTTCTTGCAAAGCCACTTTGAGAAACAGGTAGCGCACTGGTATTGATGTTTTACATTAAGCTGAAAACACAACTATTCAGATATCGCTTTCACCTCGTTCAGCCTACCCTCGGTTGGAAATTTGGTACGACGCCTGTCTGCGATAACCCCATTCCCTCTAATTCACATGGGAACGCCATATCATTAGCAATCTCAGACTTACAGGGAGGATCGACTCTACCGCCGCTCCACGACATGACGAAGATGAAAACACCCTCAAGCAGCAGCTGAACGCATACACAAAGGAAGGAAGACCTTCGTGAATGGTGGATGTGAAGAAACGATTGAAATGCAATAAGTGTTGTGATCGGCTCAATTTTTTTCAAAACGTGTCATTTAAAGAAAAGCAACTTGCACAGGATCACACCAGTTACTGAGCTTGCCAAATGAAAGTGCATGAAAGTCTACAGATGCTGAAAACATGCATATCTACAATTCGTCGCTCGTGATGTTTACATGAATAGTTCCATTACGTGCCATTACGTCTGTGCATCACACATAGGAATACAATCGCTGGTTGGAGTAATAGCTACCTATTACCACTAAGTCCATGGCGTATGACGCAACACGTCCTACAAACTCGTCAGGCTGCACATAGGAATACAATCGCTGGTTGGAGTAATAGCTACCTATTACCAAGTCCATGGCGTATGACGCAACACGTCCTACAAACTCGTCAGGCTGCAGACTGCGAACAGGTACCGTGGTCAAGGATTGTTTCTAGACACAAGGATCAGCCTGCGTCGTATTTTCTCCAGGTTAGACCACTAGATGCAGCAAAACAACGAGTATTTGCGTTCAGATTATTTCAATAGTCCTCACAAGAAGTGTACAGATTAAACTTGAGCCATGTAAAATAGCATGTAAAAAAATGCTGGATTTCAAAAAAAAAACGGAATATAAGGAATTTAAACAGCAAACTAAAAAAGTTAACTGTAAACTTTTCAATTACAGAATAAACCTATGTAGGTACAACTGGGTACCTTAAATGTCTGTGGTGGGTGACCTATCCAATGAATTTGAAAATTATAAAAAACAAAGAATTTTACGGCAAAACAAATCACTACGAAGGGAACGATTAAAAATCTACCGACACTGACCCACCTGGCCATATCATGAGTTGGAACCAAATCGCACCGTCACAAATATGATAGGAAAAAACAACTATCTCTTAACAGTGTAATTTTGCATCAATAGTCCGTACGCAGAACATAGTGAACCAAACCTCTTGTTGCTCTTTCTTGAGTGCTTTTCTTCGTTCCTCCATTTCCACAGACTTCTCTTTTCTTTCCATGATATATCGTTGATGCAGTTCTTCCAGACGCTTCTCCTTTTCTTCTTCGACTCTTGCACGAAGCTGGGCCTCAGCCCAAGCCTATAAACTTTAAAGGGTTAACCACTAACAAATGTGTGCCATCTTGTATGAAGTGTGATTCTTAGTTTGTCTTACAAAATAAGGGTATAGCTATATACATGCTGAGACCTCAACAACTGAAGATACTGTCCTACCTTTCTCGTCTTCACATGTTCTGGTTGCTTTTGCACATGGTATGAAATTTTCAGTTCGTTTATTACCCGTTCAAAGGCATCGCTATCCTTCTCTCTATAAACTAAGATTTTATGTGCTATTTGGCAAATCCTATAAAAGTTCAGAAACCTTAATAAACGGAGCAGCTTTCTTCTAAAATTTATAACGAGCCAAATACGATGCGTCAACCAAGTTGGCTTCTGAAACAGTGATAGATAATGGTTTTTAAGGCGTCATAGACGATACGGTCCTTAAAGCACGATTTTAAAGAAGTTCATCTTTGGATATCCAGATGCCACTTCAAAAGTAACTGATATCTCACTTTAATCATAGTCTGATTCTGCTCACCTTAGATGTTTCTTTCGAAATATCCTCAACAAGCATTGACCAATGCCGAATAAGGGCAGTCATCCACGCGACTAGAACAAACCGAAGTTATTTAAAAGAAAACAAATAGAGAAGATAGCGTTTGAGAATGTGCTAGTTACCAAAAATAATGACTCACTCTTCATTTCAAAACTGCTGTTATCCAAGGAATGCTGGTTGACTTTGCCGATAAGCTGAGCTTTCCACTCTGAAGTCATATCTCGACGAGTACCAAACCCAATACTGCAAATATACCTTGCGCCATTAACATTTGCAAATATCCACATGTAGGAAATTTAAACGTTATTAGCCCCAAGTTGAGGAATGATGACATAAATGATCGAAAAGTGTACGGATGGTAACAAAAATCCGGTCGTCAATATGATGGCGAGCAATTCAAAACCTGAATATCTTCTTCACACTTTCTGGTGCATTCTCCAACACATCCAGACCTTTGTATGGATATCGAGGGGCATTAAAATCCAAATCAGGTAAGCCAAACTTTACGCGATCTGCCACCTGCAGAGAAAATATAATAGTACAGAACGAAGAACTGTTATGTCTAACACAATACTGACTAGATTATCATGAGCCTTCAGTTCTAAATCTCTTTCCGATCCAACTTTATCGTAATAGAGTTTACCCAAAGCATCGATATAATTCTCGTCTGAAAATCATATACCAATTAAGACAAAATATCAAGTAAATTCTTAAACATTTTATTTACTGCCTACTCTTTTTAACGGCAGGGTATTTTGCGAAATATAACTATTACAATGCTGAGATATTTGCAAAAATCCAGACCGCAGGTGTCTGCGGTGGGGAACGAACGCGTTATTGTCCTTTCCGGGGAGTGACGCGTTCACCACCACACCATGCGGGTCCTTCGTCTTGCCTGTCTCTCAGCTAGTTCTATCGACCTTTTGCCATCAGCAATCACCCGTCAACGGGATTGATGTGGGGAGCCCAAATCGGCATTGAACCCAGTTAAGCTAAGGTTATAGTTATAATCACAATCTTAACCATTTTATTTACTGCATATTCTTTTTAACGGCAGGGTATTTTGTGAAATATTGCGATTGTGATTATAACTATAGCCTCAGCTTAACTGGGCTCAATGCCCATTTGGGCTCCCCAGATCAATCCCACTGACGGGTGATTGCTAATGGCAAAAAATCGATAGAGCTAGCTGAGAGACAGGTAAAACGAAGGACCCGTATGGTGTGGTGATGAACGCGTTACTCCATGGAAGGACAATAGCGCGTTCGTTCCCCACCGCAGACACCTGCGGTCCGGAGTTTTGCAAATATCTCAGCATTATAACAGTTATCAAGTAAATTGTCTGGACCATAATTTATGAAATAGACTCCATACTTTTCAGGATCTGCACCATAAGACTTGATAATAAAACAATTTCAATCTATGACAACCCAAAGGAATTGTGCAAAGACGCAATACATTCAAACAAGAACCTACCTAGAGGAAGTTGTCGAGCAGCCTTCTCGAAATAATCCGGATCCTGTTTTGCGGGATCGGTTACTTTTTTGTGTTTATTGAAAAACGTTGTTCTGCCACGTCCAACGGACACAGTTGTCCTCAGACCACGACATGAGATGGTCTGCATGGCCGCTTAGACAGCCCGTCTGAAATGAATTTTAAGCTTTCGAATTTTTTGTCCTCAATGCGTAGGGAACAGTTCATTCCAAAGAGCACAACAGACTGACGTCATTGCTCACAGATTTTCCGAGTCTTTACATCCTAGTCGATGCTACATAGCCTTGCAACGTCAACACAAATTTTAACCAGATTTAGAATATTGGTCACACTGCTGTTCCTCCAGGTCAAAATCACTTCGGGATTTCCCAACTCTTCGCGTAGTCAGAAGTTGAAATTTCATGAAGAGCATAAAAATTGGCATTTCTTCTGGAATATTTGGTGCTTAACATTAACATAAAATAAAGCGTAAAGTTCTCGGCGTTTATCAATCCCTGAGGGATGCATTATGCATTTTGTTGCAGGTGATTGAATCCAGCCTTTACAATGACTCGCGATGGTCCACCGATGTATTGAGCCAGTGCTGCTATCCTTCCAGGCAAGTCTGGTACCAAACTGCCCACGGAAAGATGAAACGCTCGGTGAGCAAAGGGTGCAGGAATCGATCCAATGTGTACTACAGGGCGCCTCCGACCATTGCGCTACGCATGCTTCATTAACATAAAAACCAAATATTTCGAACTACTGGGATCGTTGACGCAGATTTTGGCCAGAAATATGTGCCTAAATAATCCTGTTTTTAATGAGGAAATAACAAAAAACGTGGAAGGACTCAGAAACACGTTAGAAGTAAACCATTTATGCAAACCACCACGTCATCGGTTTTCCTAATCAGTGTTGTCGCTATACTAGTACGGTTGCCTTCTCGACGAAGAAAAACCGATTCCCTAATGACCACTTCAACTTTCCCATGTGTGCCCATAGGAAATGTCGGTCATTTTTGTTGTAAAACACGATAAACCCTCTTACACGAAGATAGGTTAAATGAAGGATTCGCACCGTGTGGTGAAGAACATGTTAGCCACTGATAGGGTTACTATAGTGCACTCGCTCCCCACTGCAGACACCAGCAGCCCGGAGTTTTTAAAATATCTCAGCATCATTATGGTTGTATTTAACATAATACGCTGTCGTGAAAACAGCAAATAGGGAGTTTATAATGCGACTTTAACTATAGCCCCAGCTTAACTGGGTTCAATGCCGATTTGAGCCTCAAAGATCAATCCCGTTGACAGGTGACTGGCGATAGTACTGCTAAGCAGAAAACCAGCTGAGCAGCAGGCGAAACGAAGGGCCGGCACGGTGTCGAGGTCCGTTAGTCCCCGGAAAGGATAATAGCGCGTTCGATCCCCACAACAGGCACCTGCGCTCCGAAGACTTTCGCAAATATCTTAGCATCATTATGACTGTAAATCCTCTTATTTAGAACAGGAATCTTTCTAATGCGTGGTTTCAAAAACTTGACTAATTCGGGTGAAAAACCACTTTATTGGTGGCGATCTCAGGATTCCCTAGTAAACAAGCATTCCTCACAGCTTCTACGGAAACAATGCCCAACCGAAATCAATTTATAGTTGGGAAATTTTAACACCGACGAGAAAGCCATAAATTTTGTTAAGGTGCTCTGCTCATAAGTTAGTTACAAAACGAATACAAACATCGCAGAGATGAGCCCTGGAACTCAGCTCAACCAATCTACCTATTCGAAGTCTGTGTAACTCCTACTCTATAACCAGTTTGGATCGAAATCGAAAAAATGGCCTCGAATTCTAATGAAACGGCATCTGGGTCATTCTGAAGGTACAAAACAAGTGTTAACTGTTCAATCAAACGGATTAACTCTCTTTAAAACTTCCAATATTATACCGCAACTGAACGGAATAAAGCGTATAGGACTTCGGGAAATACAAGTGTTATATTACAAGTGATGAATACCTCTCCAAGATATGCACACGACACGATGATGATATGCAGACAATATCGCATCACTCTTACAGGGGTTAGACATATCACTTCAGTCTGAGCGTCGTAGCGAACGAGGAACGAGAAAAGAAAAAGAGAAAAGAGAAGAGATGAATCCGCTACTGCCACTATTCGCAATATGTTAAGCGAAAACGCCAAAATTGAGCAGCTTCATAAAAGATAAGAACAGGATATCAAGAGGCTGAACATATGACAAAAGCCATGACAACACGAAGATGTCGGGCACTGTAAAACAGCGAGTGATTCAGGTGTAAACAGCAATAGAATTTAGAAGAAGGCACCTTATCATAACATTAAACGTAGTCCTATCTGTTGATAAAAAAGAAATAAAGAAGAAAAAAACATGGCAACATGTACTCGATATTGCGCCGCATCGAATTACCATAGTCGTTAGGGGAGGAATACGGCGGTGAACGACAAATTTCGAGGCTAATAATTGATTGAAATCCTTTATAAATGTCTACTGTTCTTCTGAATAAACAGTATAGGAGTGGTGAAGAGCCGTTATTGCGTAGTCAAAATGAGGGCACAACTAAGAAGAGCAATGCTCTTCACAAGAATGAATAGCAGGCATGGTACGAGAAGAAAAAAACTCTAAAACACCATACACCATAAGGACAAGTAGGTTTTCGTTAGAGATTGGCTACATGTTCTCATATTGATCTATTCGTCGCTTCGTATTTCCACCGCGAATCTGACGAAGCGTTTTGTACTTATCACGACCAGCTCGTTTATTCTCCATATGCAAAACGTCATAGTCCGTAACGAAATGCTCATCTTTCACCACCTCCAGTTCACGAGTTAGCATCTTCAAATAAACAAAGATAGAACATTTTACAACACTGCATCATCACTGATGTCAGAAATATTACGTCCGACAAACCTAATCAGCATGGAAACAGTGTCACTCAACTAAAATAACAGTGCAAGTAATACTGGAGAGACTCTTAACCCTTTTATTTACTGCCTTTTTCTTCTTAATGGCAGGTAGGGTATGTTGCGAAATATAACTCGTATGAAATGCTGAGGTATTTGCAAAACTCCGGACCACAGGTGTATGCAGTGGGGAACGAACACGCACTGCTCCCCCGGTAAGGACAACAGCGCGTGTTCGTTCCCCACTGCATACACCTGTGGTCCGGAGTTTTGCAAATACCTCAGCATTTCACACTGGAAAGACTGTTGACAAATATCACCGTTCGGAAAATCACACCTGTTACCTAATTTTGCAACCTGTAATTTAAACCACTTCAAAAATCACCTCAAGCTTGGTTTTTATGCTCTGATTCTGTTCTGCAGCAGTGATGCGGTCCAACTCTCGCTGTGGGACGTGTTGATCGGCGTCATTAGTGAGTTCTTTAAGTAGGAGTCAATTGCATTCACCGAAGACTCAAGTAAATAAAGCTCTTCACCTGTGGTACAGTTCTCGTCCTCATCAGTATTATTGTCTTCGCGAGTGAGCATCGTATGATGAAGCTTTAAAAAAATGAGTGGTTACGTCAGAGCTTTATGACAAAAGTGATGGCCTACATGAGTGTGATGATTGACGATTGATGAGTGTTGCATGGCGGATCCACGACGAGCCGCCTCAATTTCGTCTTGCAGTCGGTGGGTAACTTCTGTTTGGCGTTGTACCTCAGTACGCATGGCATGAACCTGTATTGTGGAGGTTACTCCACAGTTAAAACTTGTAGTGAAGATAGTCTTTACCTAAGGCTCTTTATACTCTTATGATTTAGCTGTTCTAAGTGGTTATCCACGGTATTTTGTCCAATTTAACACAATTTCTGGAAACAACATATGAACCATAACCTGTCACCTTCCGGAATACTTACTTACTTGACACTTGAACGGCCCGTCCTCACTGGTTGTGCGGGCCCAGGCATTATCCCCATTTTTCGGAGAAATGCTGGTTAAGCCATTGTGCTTCCCTGGAATCCCGAGGAGAACCTAGCCAAAATATGCCTCATATCTTCACCACTGTAGACAGTCGCAGTCTTTGTGGATCAGAGGGAGATCTGCCATTATGCGACTTTGACACCAGGACAATGGTGAATCCTGGTATTGTTTTACTTATAGCTGGGTTTCCTGATGGAAACGCCTGAACCCTTCTCAGCTTGGAAGATCCTGCCGGGATGATCAATTCCCCGCTGTACATTGCAGCCCGACACCCAAGAAGACCTCCGAGCCACGATGTGGCGGTAAACCATTGGGAGGTGAATTCACCTGCGGGAATAAAGAAAATTTAATTATTTAATTAAGTGTTAAATCACAAAGAAAAGGAGAGGATAAACTATGCACTTCTCCTTCACGGATTGCAACTTCTTCTCGAAGTCGACGTCTTTCCTCCTCGCTCATCGCTTTTTCAGACTGTAGTTGAGCAGTGAGCTCTCGAAGTTCGACCTCCTTGTTCTCAAGCGCTTCTTTCGCCTAAAACATAATATCATGTAACTGAAAAGCACTGCGAATTAAGATGTCTTATCACCGACAATGGAGATGAGAATCGATGGTCGGCAATCAAACCATCTACATTTTGTTGATGATATCGTTCTTACAATATCAAACAAGCAGAATGAATTCTTGCCAACTTTGATAAAGCCTCTGCAACGATTGGTCTTCGACTAAATTTCAAAAAAAAGATGTTCGTAAAGAACGGATTGGTTACTTATGGGTCGTTTACGGTGAACGGATCGAATATCTCCGAATGCTCCAATAACGTCTACCTAGGTTGGGAAATCAACATGATAAAGGACTCAGCTTCAGTGTTGGGCAAAAGGAAGCGATCGGCTTGGAGAGCTTTCGAAGGACCGAGTATATAGTAAAGTCAACAAAGAATACCCGACTACGTGCCAACATTTTCGATCCAACGGTACTTCCTGCCTTAACGTATGCGTCAGAAACCTGGTCGCTGCGTAAACAAGATGAAAGGTCACTCAGCGTTATTGAACGCGCAGTTGAAAAAATGATGCTGAGAGTATCTCCTATTACACAAGTGAGGTAAGCAATCTGAAACTTTGGCCTACGTTAACAATGAATGTACGCCAAACTATCGAAGGTAAAGTGGGTCGAACACGTAATGCGTATGAACGACAACCAATGATCCACTTGTGAGATTTCTTTACGAAGACCCTAAAATGCATATATAATTCTTAGTGACTCCTAGAAGGAGTAGAACCCACTAGGCTGCTTTTGAACGCGATAGGGAGAGATAGAAATTTTACTGGAGTCCACTCGAGTCACTCAACAATCAACGTGACGACAAGTGACAGGTGATCGTCGACAAAAGGCAGAAGACCTACAGTGAACCATACATACCAACTGTAATTGCTTGAGCTGCATTTCCAAATTGTGGATGGTGTTTTGTGCCTCAAGAAGTTCTCTCTTTGCGCGCTCCATGTCTTCCGCCATTCGACGCATTCGATCTTCAGCTTCACGTTGACGAGCTTCTGCTTGCTCGCGGGCAGACATTTCCTAGTAGCACTCATTTTTAACGGGAAATCTCAATGAATTACTTCCAAATTTATAGCCTAACAAAGATAGAGCTGTATCGATAGCATACCATACCTTGTTGAGTCTTTCTTGCTCGGCCTGTTTCAAAGCTCTTTCTTCGCGGGCTTGTTGCTTCATTTGCTGCACCTGAAGTGTTCTCATTTTGCGCACAAAATACAACACATTTATATTTGAACAAACAGAACGTTGTTTGTTGAACAAAACGAGTAATTTGCTGAAGGACGAAGAATCACTTTAAAGCTTCAAACGCATAAACACTACTTGTCCGAAGATGACATCAAATCGAGATATAAGTATAAATTTATAACGATGAAGAAGAGAACAACAGTGACATGACAAAGCATACATACTTCAATGGTGTCCGGCTTACGACGGCGCATGTATAGTTCATGATTTCCCATACAAAGAGCAAGAATACGTTTATTGATGCGTAGACGTGGTGCGTAAAAAACAAAGTCCTGAACGAAGCATGCTATCTCTCAAAAAACCAAGAGTAAAGCTTTTAAGTGACTCATAACTTCCATAAACTACTTCACACTGATTCCACGAGATTCCAGCACTCATGTTGAAAACGACTGTGCCTACGGATTACTACAAACCAAATATGACTCTATGAACATCAGATGACTCTAGCTGACAACTGGCTTAAAAAACATGACCTCATAATCATATAATGCTCCTTATTTTTATACTTTTTGCCGATGGAATCTACCGTTAATAGATTAATAAAAATTGCTTTGCAACACCTATTTACTCAAAGCTGCTCGGCCTCTTCTGAAGTAGTGATGACGCTCACCTGCTGTAAGTTATTCCTTTCAACCTCTCATATACTTACCTATTCACACGAATTCAGGCATTTAACAGGATAGAATAAAGGATACAGTTCGCAAACACATATGCATATATATGCATATCCACCCGAGCACCATGAAATATAGCGTGTACGGGAGATATAAACATATAAGGCGCATCAGAATCATACAGGCCATTCTCTTAACTCTACTGCTTCGGATGGCAAGTACATGGTCGTTTTTGGGCCATGTCTAACCACCTATTACCCACTTATGAATAAACTACGTAACAACGCGACTAACTGGCGCGTGTTCCCCAGCACAAGGAATGATTATCGACATTTAAAGACTTTGCTTTCGATGGAACAAAATAAAACAAAAACGGTGCATCTATCGCCTACAAACGCAAACGTCTGAAAAGAAAGTAAAGTATAGAAACAAAACAAAACACTAACATTTGCCTTCTTGTCAATAGGCTTGATGACAAACTTCTTATCGTTGAAAGAAATGTTACGGATCTCTGACCACGGGAATCCAACCTCCAAAGGATTGATTGAAGATGCAGTGGAACAAGACATGTATATCACAGCACGCCTACCTTTGGAGATAGTTTGTCGGACTTTTCATAAATATTAAGCCCTAGAGCATCAACACCAAGAAATAGTTCAGTCCCTTTCTTATTGCGGATCTCGAAGTACTAAAAAGAGAAAGTTACACACAGATTGTTCTCGATGTAAAACCAAAAGTGGTTCTACTTAAACAATGACGAAGAGCACCTACATTAACACCGTACATCTCAAGGTCTTGGGCTAGCTTAAGATATTCGGCCATTGCTTGCTCACGACTAGTACCTTTGTGATCTGCCCACCAGGTCATGATTCGCTTCTCCCATTCATCAGAACTCATTTTGAACTGACCAGCTACTCGTTGTGGTAAGAGTCTATAAGCTTGCTGACTTACAAACGGAACCACACTAAGATGTCAACCTTTTAAAGCTCAAACATTCTTAGAAAAGCCTGGAAAATAGTCGCAGAGTAACTACAACCGGAGCTGTAGTTTCAAACAGATAAGTGAAGTGACTAACCTATCCGCCGTTAGGCAACCTGGCTTGTGCGTTTCCGGCTGATAGTCGCCGTACTTAGCCTGCATTGCAAAAGAAGCGAGTAATACAGAAGTTTCTGGTGAGCAATACACCTCGTCCGATAGGATCGCATCTTTGACTTGAAGATAAAAGAGACGCTGAACAAACGTCATCAGATAGGTTTTTGGAATAATCACATAACTGTTTGACGATAATGTTGCACTATCAACAACTCCAGGGCCTACTTTGTATAACAAACACTTCAACTTTGCGGAAAACTGTTTCTTGCTCATGATGTCCTTTCCCCTACCATTTACCAAACCTTACTTTCATATTTTCCCCCAAACTTCTTAGTTACTACATCCACCTATAATCCTATTCCATTGAAGCAATTGATATTTAATGCTGCTGCGATTTTAGGGAAAATATTTCACTGTTAAAAACTAAGCCGGAAATGGATAAGATCAATAAAGTGAAAGTCGTGGAACGTCCTAAGCGACGCTCTAAAGACATAAAATTCCTTTCTGGTTACTCATGCTAGCAAACAAGACCGCAAAAGCGAAACCATCCAATTGCTTAACGAAAATATATGACAATCTATTAAAAATATGCATAACTGAACCATTCTCTTCTCATAGAAAAACAACACGCTTAATCTAAGCCTCCGCTGCCACACCATCAGTTTCTACAAAAGCGCTAGGGGTTGGTAACAAAATCAACAGTCCTTGAATGATCCTTGGTTTTCCCAAGATGTTTCCCCTATCAGCGTCCAGATAACGAACTACGTACATCCAAGTAGTACAGTCACTATGACATTGGAATTAAGGCGGAGAAAGATAGATGGTTGCATAAAGTGTCAGTCTTGGGCTACAAGATGGTAAACCTTTAATAACAAGAAGTTTGGTTAGATATTATAGACCCTGAAGAAGCAAGCTTGCTCCGAACTTCTGCAGTTGTACCCTCCTACCATGCAACTAATCGGAAAGCATCGGTTCGTAGTGTAACGATCGACCGTACATAAGCGGATCATGTCCGAACTAGGATGGCCGACAATGCATTCAACAATGCGACATTTGAACCAAAAAGATTGATGTTACCACTGGTGAATCAACACAGTAAGCATATGCAACCACTTGAAAGAAAGCTTGCGGGATCACAGCAAAACGAAACGCAGTTGAAACAATTCCTAACCAGTAGCATGAAATGTTGGGTTGCTCACCATGGTGACATCCTGGATGATCTCCTCTCCGACATCTTCTGGATAAAATTTGGCTCGAAACTTGAACATAAGCGTACCATCTTTTTTCACATCTTGTGATAACACCTTCTTGTTCAACTTCAACCATGTTAGAAATCCTTAAAAATGTTTGCTGCTTAGCCATGATTGAAGTATCACCAAACTAAATAATGAAAACACACAAAGCGGTAGAAATCTTGGATGTTCAATGATACAATTGCAAAGTATGTAATAGTTCTGTGTAGCTTCGCTTCGCTCGACCTCGTAAGTCCCTTTCCACGAAATTAAAAAATTGAGCAGATTCGAGTTTCAAAAATTAAATTCAAACTCTTCTACCTTTAGTGTCAGTGTACTGAAGGCCAAAATACCAAATCTCACGAAGACCAATAGTTTTTACGACCTGAAATGAGGACTATGCAACAAACACACAGCAAAGAACGGATTTAAAGAAAAACCTAAAAAGCAACCATAAGTAGAATAGATATGAAATTCAGACTAATAGGAAAATTCAAGACCAAAACGAAACCTGATCGAAGAGTTGCTTGCCGGTAGTGTTCGACTGGATTGCGAACTCCAGTTCGGCGTCCATAGTAGTGACGCGAACATTGATCTAAAACATAGTCCAAACGGTACCAAATATCATAACTTGTTCTCCTCGTTGGATAAGTATGTGAAAAAGGGACTAGAAATTCAAATAGTACACAGAAAATCCGGAAAGCGTCTAGCTAGGCTAGTTTCTAGTTCTTTCATTAGCTCCAGCAAAAAGGAGGGATCATTAAGGAAAGACAAAAGGCAATAGATTGAAGCTTAATCTTGAAGCGAACCTACATCGGGAGCGGGCGCCATAGACGTGAACGGACAGAAGAATGCAAGCAGCACTCACTCAGTCAGCAGCCCCGCCCTCTACGTCGTGGAAAAGCAACGAGTGGAATCGCCGGCCCCCTCAGAAGGATGGCGAAAGAGAACGAATGTCTCCGACGCTCAGACATTGCAATGGCCATCGAATACAGAACATTTATTGATTACAATAATTGCAGATTAACGAGACGACGACACGCTGTGGGAATTCTGCAGGGATAGACAAGTGGAGAGCAATAAAGTGGAGGTTCGATCCCCGCCGCAGACAGCTGCATTCCGGAGTTTTGCAAAAAATATCTCAGCATCATTGTGGTTGTATTTCACATCATCCCCTGCCATGAAAAAAAAAAAGAATAGACAGCAAATAGAAAGCTATTATAGTATGAAAAATGTTCTAAGAGAGAGTAGAAGTAAACTCACAGCTTTCTTCGACATGGCGGGCCTACGCTAAGTGGCACGTAGAGTGCGAGACAAGTCCGCTATGCAGTTCCGAAGCTTCTAAAGGAATCTGAAATTCGTACTGAACACAAATCTCGAACATCAGGACATTAACAAACGTTATAGACGAGAAAAACTGAAGAATTACTGAATCACTTGAAGGAAAAAAAAGAAGAAGGAAGGAAAAAGCGGAGCATGCCTATAACTGTTCGAAGTAAAAGCGTCGTGAAAAATTATGCGCAAAACTTCAACCTTCGGTATCAAATGCGGTACAAAAGCAACACGAGTGAGAAAAACTTCAAAGAGGAAGAACCGTTGTTCGCTTCGAGAAAAAACGAACTCATAACTTCGCTATCGGAATGACCTTAAGTTCTTAAAGAAAGATGAGAATGTTAAAGCAGAGAGCAAAGACATACCCCTACAGATTGGATAATGTGCTAAATCAGTTGGAATTATATGCTATGAAGTAAGAAAGGAAGTACTTATCCTTAACAAAATTTAGATTGAAAGATGCACTAGTCTCTTGATGAGCCAGGACGGGGTTGTTAATTTATCCTTTATTTATGAAGAAGTTGACGTTCCAGAGGATTTCGCCCTGCTGAGCGTGGAAACGTCAAGTGGACTGTAATCTACCCAGCCAATCACCTCCATAATCAAGCAGAGAAAGTGCTAGACCAAGATTTCAATCGCATTAGACAAAAAATGACTTCCTGAGCTTTCTCTGTTTGATTAGGGACGTGTTCGGCTGTGTAGATTGCAATCAACTTGACCTTTCCAGGATCTGAGGAAGGCAAAAACCGCCGAAACGTCAGCTTTTTTATAAATCAAGACTAAATTAACAACGTCGTGTTTCACCTTGATCAAGAGAACGGTGAATTTCTCGATCAATGCCGAGGTTAACAGAAAGTCGGTTGTGGGAACGAAATCGAAAAGTCCAAAAAGTACATTCAAGGATTACGTAGGATATAAAACTTGAGAATATTTAAGGATGAATTACGACGAATGCATAGAAGGCCCTAGAAGACTTTAATTCGGAAGATGACGGCGCCTACGGACGAAGGAAGTGGGAAACTCGCCCATATTGTAAAAGCGTCCACTTGGACGCCGAATCCTTAGATAGACATCAAACGACGAAACAAAAATAAAAATAGGAGAGCAACGAGGCTGATTCTCAATGGTCCTGCCAGTGATTAGAGAATTCCGGACCAACTATGAAAGCAGAAGATTCCCTGGATAGACGCAAGAGATCCTCGAAATCTCATGCCTTAGATAGGTTTGGTGATGGCGAATATTTTAGACAGAAACCAGCTTAAATAAATAAGTAATAAAGCATATGGGATGAAAACCAACTTCTAAACAAAGCCATCCGAACAAGGCCCATTAATCATTTTCAAAATGTTGCACATCTAGAGAAAAAAGTCAACGAGCGGAGCTTGCGCATTTTCGGGTCGGCGATCCTGACCGAGGTCAAGTCTATGGGCCCGAACCCACCACGTAATGCTCAAGTGGTAGAAGCAAGTAGTTGCCGATTTTGTCGAATGATCCGGTTATGGTTCGTTCCTGGCAGGTGACCTTAACTTTTCTGCCACATTTGGTCCGTTAGATTCTGATGGCCCGCCAGTTGCGCCAGTTTCCAGTGAGGGTCATCTCCACATTGACAGAATGGGTAGTGAACTGGTTGAACAGTAAAACCTGAGCTTAACTGATGAAGAAGTCTGCTTGTATTTAAAACAACTAAGATAACTGAAGACAAATAAGAGACACTAGTCAGATAAAAACGAGTCAGAATGGAGATAAGGGTGCTTAAACAACTAGTACCACGTTGCTCGTTGCTAAAGTAGGGGTCGTCCTAACAGGGAATTTTTCGTTTTTAAAAAGAGGCGCAAATTTGCCCCTTTATTCTTTTGACATGAACGTGTTTCTCCTACGTTAAAGCATTCGAGCAAGTGTATGACTCTATCTTCTCCAGTGACCGCTTTTTGTGCAGCCGTTTTCGTTCCCTGATGGCCAATCGTCCGAGTCAAGGCGACCGACGTGAGAAAAGTGCTAATCGATCACTGGTGCCTAAACCTCGGTTTCGGACAACGGTCACGGACAAGGTGTATCGAGGAGTCTTGGTTCAAACCTTGTCATCATTGAAAAACTTCTAGCTGCTATCGCAAAAGAGCACACAGCTCAATATATTTATGGGTTAGGAAATCCTTTAATTGGCGCAAACCCGAGTGTTTCAACACTGAGGACCAATCCAAGAACTTTTTCGATACGAATCATGCAAATCAACAAATGAGACACTGCGTATTGAACAGGAAATCACCCGAGTACAGTTTAGCTGTCTAGAATTGGACGCCGGCCTTGTCATCAGAATAAATTTGTGCCCTGTTAAATTGCCGCCCGACAAAGGCGAGTATTTGCATATCATGAAACGCAGCACTCGCCGTCGAAGAGCCAGCCGACGGAAGAAAAAGCCAGCCATGAAACCGACGAAATAGCAAAAACCAAAAATTAAAACGATAGAAGGAATTATTCGTGTGGTGAACATGAACCAGCACCACTAGTTATGAGAAACACCCCCCGTACAGAGTTCTTCTTGTCCCTGGATTCCGATTTAGGGGACGACGATGGCATAAGCGATGGCGCACTGCACTCGAAAAGGCCACCGGCATTCGTTCAGTTCAGCTCAGACACTCTCAACTTTCTACCATAAGTCCCTTTATCATACCATATTATCAATCGAAACAGTCATAGTGTTGATACAATGACGACTAGTCATAAAAAGAATGTTCGACTCTCTGGAGGCGTTCACTCCTGCTCACACTACGTGAGTCATGGCTTGGTTTCTTGCCCGCTCAACGTTTAAATAATGTTACTCCACAGTAAAGTAAGCTATTCGTTCAAGGTAATCCGACACTGGCGGATTCTAATTAACGATCGCAATCCATAGATAACGTTGCGTGCAGCGTAGTAATTAGAGTGCTCTGCAATGCATATGTGGTCGCTGGTTCTATCAAGAACCGGGCATACGAAGCAAACTAACCTTTCAGGGTCGGCAAATTGGTACCAGATTTTCTGGGATGATTCAAAACACTAAGTTGCACACTTGTAAGACAAATATGTATTCAATCACCTCTGCGATGCTTAACGGAGTCGAACTCATGCTGTATTTCTACGGGATCGTTGAAAACGGAGCGCTTTCTCCTCTTACGCACAATCATTTTAATCCATTCATATCAGTTGTTTTCTCTTTGTCATCAAACAGCGTCAAAAACTGACTTTCTTCTTCCGGGACGAAAAACTTGCGAAAAGCTAACTATAATATTTCTTGAGACCTATGGTCACCAGAAAACGGGAGATTCCCATGAGCTGGTCGGTTAGAAAAATGGTTGATTTTCAGAAAGCTGGTAAGGTAAGATCTAAGCAATAGGAAAAGAAAGAAAGGTCATTATGTTGCGGCTGCACATTACACTTGAAAACTGCCGAAAGTAGTGCGGAACTGACTACTGCTGCCTAAGAGATATTTCCATGCGCATATATGACCAGATTCATAAAATGACGGGCTGAGAAAAGTTCGCGCCAATGGGTCACGTAGCACTGATTCGAACATGTGCTAGCTCGAGTCAAGGCAAACCTCCGAGGTGAACTGACGGTCGTCGGTTAGTCCAATGGCGCGGCAGGGACCGGTGCCGGCTGCTTGTCGCTGGCGGCTATCCTCAAAACAGACCTCCCCTGCGTAAGCGGGTGTTGTTGCGTACGACCTCTTTGTCACAACATACCAACTACGATCGATACCGATACAACCATAAATAGATTGCTGAACGTCCTTCGTTTATGATTTTCGCCGGCCAACGGATCGCTTCTGCGATGCCTCTCAGTAGTTTCGACAGTTGTCCGGAAGGGACCACACCTACTCCTTCTAAATCTGATGAGGAAAACCATGGCATTCTGGCAGAAATTGGCTTTATAATCGTCCGGATAGCTCTGACATGCGTCCTTTGTCACTTTTTTTTTCCAACTATAACCTATTGTTTAAGTCCACAAGGGGTCAGATTTCCAATATAGTCTCTGGAGTAATTCGACTAGAGTACAGATCAACAACAGTGCAAAGTAAAGGGATTCAGATGGGGTGGATTACATAATTCAACAATCCATAAACTACAAGATCTGGCTGATCATAAACTCCAGAATTTTTCGGGATATATGACCCTCTACTACATTGCTTATGAGAAGAGAATAACTTTAAAGCACATTTAGACTAAACCCAAAATTAGCTCAATTTTGTTAGCACTCGCCAGTCGTAGTAGATTTCTAGAGATTTACGTTAGGCTTAGATACATTTTGTATTCAATTCAACAGTGTAAGCAAGACAAAGTTTGTGATGGAATGACGTTCGACCAATACTTATCTTCTTTTCTGATGACTAAATGTGCGACAGCCTGGAGCCTCCTACCATACCGTTGTAACCGTATGTGAAGAAACAATGTGGCGGGTTGAGACTCACTAAGACATAATGTTAAAAGGTTAACCAATATGCATAAAACGCGAACGGCACTTATACGGGTAGAAAGGTGGTGGATGAGGAATAGCAACAATGCCAACCCTTAAGGGCGTTAAGAGCGTAGAAATTGAAAAAATGGCTATTTATAAAAATCGGTTGTAGTGCCAACGATCTAAGCAAGTTTTTCAGTGCGTGAAGATCTTGAGACTCACTACTGGAAATACTACAGAATTTGTTAGAGGAGAAGCAGTAACAATATTTTTGTAAGTGAGTCGAACAGCGAAGGGCTTTGAAAATGATTGTCATTGTGTGTTTGCCGTCCCTCTCCGTACGACTGTTTACGAATCAGAAAGAGGCTTAGATTACGTAGCGCAAACCAGCCCAGTTTGGGATAAGAGGCTTTCGTTTTCATCAACTTTATTAAAGCGAAGTGCTAGTCAGCCCAGCAGGTTTCTGTTTTCACTAATTCCATTCGAAACGATAACACTTGAAGCACACCGGAAGA